CCAATGTTTGAGTAGCTATGGGGAAAAGCATTTGACGATACAAATGTGTACAGGTTGCAAAAGCAGGGATTAAATAAAGTTACACAGAATGTATATATATAATTTTGAAATAGCACAGAAGAAATTATCACACCAGCAATACAAAAGAAGCCTTCCAACAGGAGATGCTTCTTGGCATAAATTGTGAATGAGTTTTGCATAATTAATGTGTTTTCACTGATTATCTGGAGATCAACCCCCCTGTAAAGTGGCACAAGAAACTAACAAAGCAAGATCATGTCAGGCACCAAGGCATTTGTCTGCTCTCCAAAAACACTTAAATATTTATGCCTAAATGCTCACTAAATCTAGGCTAAAATGCTTTACTTCTCCTAGGATCAAGCTCACTAGAAGTAATAGTTTCAAATTTTAAGTTCCTTCAGAAGAAACTTCGAGCCCAATAAACAACCACCAAATTAATTCTGAGTTTCTATAAAATTTCCTGAAAGGTTAAGTCTGAATAGAGCTAATGGTATCTCTCTGAAAATATGTATGACAGAGAAAGCAAATTCTACTTTTTAAACTACTCTATTTTTTTCCCAGTATTTTTAGAGCCTTTTGCATTTGTTTGTGCTTGTGGCTATATATGAAAACCTCTAAAGAGTCATTAAAACAAAAGGAAAATAGGACTAATCTATCTCTATCCAGTTCCCAGTATGTGCCTAGGTGCTTTTATGGCCACCCTAGTTTGCAAGTTAGCGTATTGTAGGGAACAAAATGAAAAAAAAAATGAGGAAATCAGGGTATTAAGAATGGAAAAGAATGAGTCTTTACACTGAACAGTTAGAAGGATTTTAATGAAACTTTCAACGAAGATAAATACAGCCACTTTTAAATTGTCTTCTCCCAGGCTGCATTTTGACTATGTAAGCACACCGCACAGCCTTGTTATTGGTTGACAGCAATAGAAGATTTCTAACGGGATATTGAAATAGAAAGTTTCTAACAAAAATAAACCTTAGCATTCCCAAGCACTACTAAAAAAAAAAAAAAGGAAAGCAGAGCTTTGCTTTCTCGGCTAGGAAGAAATATGGAAAAAAAGTGCAGTGAAGTCTAGAAAAAGAATGTCCTGAGCAGTGGGACTGACAATGAGCTTTTGACTGACTGCCCGGAGCTGTGACTCTGTCTTCCTTGTTGCTTGGCAACTCCATGTTATCACAAAGAAACTGATATTAAGTTGGAACAGGCTGGATATGGTAATTTACGTGGGAAGATACTCTTGCAGTGGGAAAACCATTTTATTTCTAGTTTCTGTCAGCATAAGTAGGTTTCACATGATGAACTGTAGTACATCCCCTGTTGGGTGCATTTTACCTAAAAAGGTAAAGAGTGACTCTGCCTTGGAAAGAGACTGTGCAGAAAAGAAAAGAAAATCAACCAAAAAACACACCTTGTTATTCTTTAGACCTGCTCCTAGTGTCTACTCAGACATTTCTTCCAGTGGTAGTGACAAAAGTTTGTTTTCATAGCTGTGTGGATCTAGTGCAGAGATGGAACTCGATCATTATCATTTATACTATCACAGTCCCTAAGAACTGTCAAGATTTGCCCAAGACCTCACTGTCTTATACAAACATTAAAAGATGATCCTTTATCTAAATAATCCCTGCTCTTTCTTTTGTGCTGGCAATAGCTAAGTGCTAAGTTTCAATTCCACTTTATTTCTTCCCTGCTGAAGGAAGAGGCTGCACATGTAGCAGTTACAGAATAATTTGAAGACCATAACAGAAGATGTATGTCATTCAACTTTGAATTTGTCTAGTACTGTATGGCTGGGAAAGGACTCAATTTTTATTGAGGTGTATAGAGAGAATGGCAAGGGTATGTATGTAAAGCAAATCGCATGACTGAAGCTTTGAGCCCCAAAAGATACATAATCTATAATGGTGTGTTTATATTTGGGTTTAGGTCTAAGATTTAATTAGAAAGAGAGAAAGCACAGACGACTCAGGATTTAATGCAAAGCCTGTTTTCTTAAATGTTTGGTTTACTCATAGCTGTACTGAACCACCACCATCTCTCTGCATTTCCATCCTGCATCATTTCTAGTAATTTAACACCCGCATACAGTCCTACAAGTAAGTACTTCACATGTCTTCAGGACTCCCTGTTCTGGCTTCGGTCAGCAAAACACTCCCTTGTCTCCAGGCTTCTCTCTACTGCAGAGTTAACTTGAAATATAACTCAACTTTTGCCCTTGGCTCAAATCCCAACCATACACAAAAACTTCTGACTTGGGTATGTTGATGCTGTTCAGCTGAAGGGATTGGCCTGGACTGTCAGAAAGCCCAGGCAGCAGCTTCAATTAGCATAGCTAATACAGCTACCCGCTGCTGCTCCAAGATCTTGTCTTTATTGCCAAAAAAGGTGTATTTTTACTGTGGGATAATTATCCTCAATTAACTATCCTTATTTAAAATAAAGCCCTCCATCTCTTTCCTTACAGTGAAGACATTGCTTCCCTATTAACTCAGAGTGTCCCCTTTTGCTGAGGCTAAGCTAACAGAAGAGGAATGAACTCTGCAATGAAAATAGCCCACAATGTCCTAGGCATCAAATAGACCCAGAGACTGCAAGCAAAGTCCTTTTCTGAACTGACTCATGGTGAGGAGGTAGCTTCCTTGCTCACTTTTCAATTTGGCCAGCACAGCATATATCAGCTTGCATCCTATCTACCACACTAATGAGTTTGTCTTCTTTTTAATTTACCACATCACCTCCAATAAATCCAAAAATGCTCTGGGCTGTTATCTGACTTGGAGGGGAATAATTACTGGACTGACTCCAGCAGCAAGCTTGGCTTAATTAAAACACAGTATATTTCCCAAAAAGGTAGTGACCAATTTTATTCTGAGTGCAACCTAAAACAACTTTACAACAGAATGGAACAGACAAACTTTGCTTTACCCTGCTAAATCATGATGAGCTGATTTCCTATATTCCCTTACCACTAGCAGCTAGTGGCTAACTTTACCACTTTACCCACCTTAACTGTTGTCTTCCAAGCTAATTGCTAACACATACCACCTGCTTCTTAAGCCCTGGCATTAGGTTAACACAAAGCTTGCAGGGAGTCTCCGATACCTTACATTCATTGCATTCACTCATGCTTGCTGTAGAGAGTTTTCTATGCTAACTAGCAGCATCCTCTGGCTTGCAGGCCATGCTGGACTAAGGGTAGCAAAACCTCTATGTGGCAACAAAAATACTTCTACACTTCCCATAATCTAGGGTTGGGATGATTTCCCTTTTTTAGGTTAACAGTGTTCTTTAAACAGTTTGGTCTCTATGACTTTCATTAAGCAGAAAAAAAAAAAAAAGCTGCTTCCTGTAGCACCCATATTTTCTGTATGCAGTGTTTCTCACTGGTGAGGAAAAATTGTTGATACTTTGTTTATTCTTGAATTCTGATGAGCACAGAACAAATCGGGTACAAATGTGAGGCAGGCAAGGAGTAGTTAGGAGCAGGCACCCAGCACCTTTCAGGGGTACGCTCACCATGGGAGAGTTACACTGGCCAAGGAAGAGAACAAAGCTCTGGGGAGAGATGCTGTGGGCACAAACCGTGGCAAGGGATCCCTTCCAGTATGGCCAAGTGGGGCTCTCCAAGAGCGCTGCTGGGAGCCAAGAGGCGTTCCCAGGGCTGGGGAACGGCTGAAAACCATCATTCCCAGCTTGCCCATTGTGCCCATTAGCACCTCCAATTAGTTTCAGCTAGTCATAGTCTCAGGGAGCAAGAAGAGAAGTTTAAACATCTTTTTGTTTCCAGCACTACCCAAGTGTCTCATATAAGACTGGATGACTCAGCAAGTGAGATATATAGCTTGACACCTCTACGATTTTTATTTCATACCTGTCTCAGGTTTGTAATGGCTATAGGACTCAATTTGATCAAAAATTAAACTGGATTCAGAAGCACTGTTATTGGCTTATATTGATGTTATAGAGTTAACTCTCTCAAGTCTTTTCTATAGTTATGGCTTCTTGTTGACTTGCAAGGATTGGTACAGAAATGAATCGAAAGACAAATTAAAATAAGAAAAAAATAAGAGTAACTCAACTTTATTTTTGTTTGTGGCAATGTTATCAACTCTGAAAATAAAGCTGGTCTCCTTTCTTCCAGTACTAATCCTAGCATGGGGAATTACAAGGTGCATGTATGTTTTCCTCAGGGTACAGAAGAACCACAGATGCTGTAGGTGAATAAACAGACATGTTGAGCCAAGATGCAAAAGCGATTTTATGTGCCTAGAATGAAAAAATAATTTACAGGCTGAAGAGCCAACAGACATGGGATTGGGAAGGCAGTAAATTTGAATTTTGGGTACTAAAACACTAGCAAATGAAAAGATGGCAGAGTAGATAAATCTTCCAAATGTTAAAGAAAAAAAACACAAACACATATATGAGCAGAAACCTTTGCTCACTCCAGTAACATTGAGTATGACTCATGGTTTTGTGAATTTTGACGGGTGGTGGTACAAAAATTGTTCTATCTAATACTGACAGATGGTAGATTTCTTCATTTTAAAAATACAAAACCAGCTTGATCTCATGTACCTTGGTTTAAAAATAAAGCTCTTTTTATAGCATGTCTTGATTTTGACAGCCATACTCTGCAGTAAATATTGGATTCCATGTATAAGCACATTTTAAAAGCCTAAACTAGACTCTTATTTCAGGGGTAGGCTGATCATCTGAGTTGGTGAAGTCCTCAGAAAGAGGAGTCACAGCTGAATGTAATGGCTCTTTGTGTTTAACTCCACAGTTTGAGTTGGTTGTGGGTTCAGCTTTGAATTTAAAAATGCATTTCCTTGTTTGGTAGCTTTCTTAAACATAATTTCAAAGATATGTAAATACCAAGTTATCCATCTTTTTTGTGATGGTAAGCCCAGAGTAAATATGCAGGAGTGAAATACAATTGAATATATAAGTAAAATGATCTCTTCTTCATATTGCAGAGCACAGATAACTCAAATATATCTATAATTGCTCAGAACAAAAAGTGCTTTGACAACGATATTGTTTGCTCAAAGAATGTTTTCATCACTGTTGGAGACACTGAAATTTATTTTAGTGAACTTTCGGAGAAGCAGGTTAGTTATTTTCTTTCCTTTTTGGGTTGCCCTTTAAGATAAGCATTGTAAAATTACAACTCTAAAGCAGCATATTTTTGGAAAACATCTCTCAGTCTGAGTTAACATAGTACAAGTACCTAGGCCTGCATAAAGCAGCAGGTCCCAGGAAAAATCTTATTTTGTCATTGTTTTTTTCAAGTTCTATTTGTCCTACAAAGACGACTGCTCAAAAGCCTCAAGCAGTTGAAGCGTATTGGCATTTACTTGGTTTTTTTCCACATGTCTTTGAAAGGGAAACCGAAGTACAAAATCAAAGCAAACTTGAATGATTGAGAAGACAAAATATCAAAGTATTAAATGACATTTCTAGTAATGTTATTGATCCCACTATATGCTAAAGAGAAAATATTCTTCACTATACACTTTGTTCTTAACTGGCTGCATACCTTGGTAGAATTGTTTTATTAGATCTTAATAAATATTCATTTCTGTCAGAAGACCTTAAGGGGACAGGAAAACAAATCTAACTATCAGCTTTGGAAGGCTGGATATTATACTGTGATACACTTTCCAGAACAGGACATTACAATTCTGTGGGATAAGAAGACAATGATGCATGTTAAAGTTGGACCTCGATGGAAGGTAAGTCAAAATAAAAACCTAAGATTTTTGTGTAGAGCTCTGTGTTGCTAACATGATCTGTGATTGTCTTCTCTTCATGCCTACCTTTCCCGGTGATACAGCTGTTTATCACGGTGATCAGCTGCTAGCATTTCCCAGATAGGAAGAGACGGAGAATTCAATTTAATGGCTGGACTCCTGAAGAGAAGGGGTGGTTCCTACATGCATGTTTACTCTGTTGCTCCACATGTTGCAACCTTGCAGATAGGCAGTGATTCAGCTCTGACTCAAAGTTACTTTGGGGGCGGGAAGACAGGGTTAGTTTTGAGTTACCCAGTTCACTGCATGTTTTCGTAATTCCTGAAGCCAATGGAAAAGAAGCTCCCATATCTAGTGACGTGGAAGTTTGCAGATTTGTAGCACAAATTGGATTAGGCTGATGATGGAACTGCACCCTGAGATGTAGTAGAGGCTGCTGAGATGAACAGATGGCATCACGTCTTGGGTGTCAATTAAGAAGACAAGATCAGGAAAGGAACTACACAAAACCTGACATTTAAACCTAATAAGTATACCATGACAGGGTTCAGCCATGATGCAGTGAAGAATATGAGGTTCCTTCTCTTGCCAGTTGCTCTCCTCTGTTCGATTTCTACATCATCATCTGTCTTGCTGTCTCTGCAACTCAGTCTTTGGGTCCTGGCAGAGTAACCTGATCTGCACATTTTATAATTACATTAAACCATGAACACATATATTGAGAGGGGGCTCTTTCCAGTAGAAGTAAAGCAAGCACTCTATGCTAGAATACAACATCAGATTTTTTGAAGTGTGAGTTGAAGTTACAATGACCATCTAATATGGTTTTAAAGCAACATTATTATAGGTGTTTGTCCCAATAGCCATAAAATGCTTACTTCACATACAAGGTGATTTATCAGCCATCAATACACATAGTGGAAAAAAAATTCTTCTGTTTTTGAGGAAGCTAGCAGGGACCTGAGTTCTACAGGCTGCATGCAGGGACACAAATACCTCAAGCTCTTTCTGTCCCCAATGGCTGTTTCTTCCAGAGGCTCCAGTTCAGTAAGATGATGTCTGCAGCAGACTTTAAGGAAAAAGAATTCATTAGAGTGAGCGACGGCACCCTAGAAATTCAACTCTACATTTTGCTGTTGTGGAGAAATATTTTTTTCCCCTATGTGCGTATATGTGTATGCATGTATATATACTTTTTCCATCAGCAGCACATGCCCCAACACAAGAAAGTTGCAGCTGTCTCTTTTGTAACTGCTATTACAAATCTTCTTGCTATTGTGAGCTAAAATTAGAGACAGCGAGTTTTAATAACAACAACTAGTCAGGCTTCACAATCATGAGGTAATTCACCTGAACTTTTGACTTTTGTCCTGGATGAACTACTAAGCTTTCAGGAAAAAATACGACACAATTCCGCTCCCTTTTCACAGGCAGACAGTAAGAACAGGTTCTGGAAAACATAATTTTCTATTAAAAGTTATTTGCAATATGGAGCTGTAAACATGGCAGTGTCAAATATTTTCAAAGTATAAGTCAGAGTTGCATTCACCTTTTCAGTTTAACAATGTTTTATTCCATGCATGTAATTTGTGCTGATTATTGACTGTCAGTACACGTGGGAAAAAAAAAAAATCGTTGTTCTCTTTTAGGGTAAACTAGCAGGTTTGTGTGGAAATTTTGACAAATATACTTCAAATGATCTGACTACATCAAACAATATGGAGGTGAGAAATGCACAGGTGTTTGGAGACAGCTGGGTATTAGGACAGGTAAGTCCCATGTCCAGTAATCATTTAGACCAAAAAAGATGATAATTTTAATTTATAAGTGAACACGTTATAAGCACACGATGTACAGGGATTTTCTAAACTCATAGTCAATGTATGAAAGGACATTTTAATTTTTATGCCTGTAGATGTGAAATGTGTTAATAGTGTCTTACTTCATAGCAAATATATACTGAATTTAAATGAAACCAAACAATCTCTTTAGGAAAAATATATATTTTTCCTATATAAGATAATTACCACAGCTGTCTGGATTTTGATTTTCTACAAAGTTAGATAATTGCTTCTGATATTTTGGATTCAGGTCAATTTTAAAAACAATTGTAATTTATCTGGTGTTGGAGGCATCAGGATATTGAAAGTAAAGAGGATCTGAATGCTGGGAAAAAAGGTCTGGAAAAAAGTTTCTTTCTGAACACTGAAAAAAAAAATTGATGATTTTTTTTTTTTTAGTTGTAGTTTGTAAACAGAGAACAAATTGACAAAGCAGTGGTGGTGAAGGGGCGAGACGGAAAAGGCTCAGAACAGGAACAGGCACAACCCAGTATGGAAACTTGGTTTCTGAGAAGGGAAAAGGCTGTAGAGAGTGGATGACCACAACTGTGTTTTGTAACACAGGAGAATAGGTATTTTATTAATCTGTGCTGAGAAGATGTAAGGTTTTATAGCCTTGTGAACCTCCTGAAAAATCAGTATTTGTAAAACACTCCCTTAGGATGTCTGTGAGAACCAGTTTTTAATCTGTTCTCTCCTTGACTCACAGCAGGAAACTGAAACAAAATCTCTCTCCTCATGAAGAATATGATGCCTATTCTGATTTGGAGTAAAGATTTTGAGGCTTTTCTGCCTCGTTATCTCCCCTTGGATCTATTTTACTCTACATAAAATGTTTAAATTGTGTGAACAAGCAAGGCAAATGTGCGGTGTTGGTGGTTACACTGCTCATCTAGAAGGTGGTACATGAAGAAATGTATAAATACTTAGTATGAAGTGTATGAATTTTTCTTTTCCAATTTATCAGTTCAGTGACTGCTTTAAAGAAGTGTTTGCATAGCACATTAACTTCTAGGATGTTATGACCTTTGCTTATGTAGCCCAAATGTGCACTTGAGTTTTTATGGCTATATATATTTTTTTTTGGTAACATCTCATGTAATCTTCCGACCTCTGTGGCTGCCAGAGCACTCGGGATCTAAGCTCAATATTGGCCTCGCAGGGAGCCTGCGCTCAGCCAGACTTGACACTTCATCTGCCTCCACAGTAGGCATTAGGGATTTTTTTCAGAAAGGACCTTTGACCTTTGTAGAAATGTATCCTGGTCATCTTTTCTGCAATATCTAAATACTGTAAAAGGACTACTTGATAGCTGGAGGCCTAGAACTGAACTCTGCTACTGGCAAACGTGCTTGCATTGGCACTGTGAAGTGTAGGATGCTTCCAGGGTTTCTCCCCCGGGGAGTGGCAGCACATCCCCTGCCCCAGCATCTGAGCATCTGCACAGGAGGGCAGCACGGATGGGCAACTGCACAGCAGCTGAGGCTGCATCGGGACACCCCAATGCTGCCTACAGATCCATCACTACCCCCTCTTGGGCTTCCCTGCTGCACCGAGAGACTATGGTTTTGGATGAACTCGTGTTTTCTGAACTCAGTGTTGTTTTGTTATATTTTTCTGTTCATTTGTTTTTCTTCTTGAAGAAAGACTTTAAGAGATGGAGTTGTATCTCAGCCATGATCTTTGACCCTACTTTTTTTTTATGAGTTGCTCTCTTCCTACCGCTGCTTCTTTATTTGAACTTACAGGGCTAAAGCCATCCGTAGTGTGACTCCATTTAAAGTCAGTGCAAAACCACCAGGGATGGATTTGGACCATGTATTTGTTTGTGATGTTACAGTTGGTTGCTCTGGTAATGATTATAATGTGTCACAAAGAAAACATATTTTCTTTATGCGCTGAGCAGACAGCAGGAACATTTTAGTACTTCAGAACAAAACACAAAGATTCTTTTTTGTGCAAGTGTTTTCAATTATAAGAACAAATCAGGGAAAGGGGAAGATGAAGAAGATAGCATTTAAACTTTATTTTTGTTTTCTGAGTATGCAGGTATTGAATTATATGACACTATAGTGTACCTGAGTCCATGGTAAACGCACCTTTGTATAAAATATTTGTGGTGTTTCTGCTTGTTTTTAAGTGCAAGCGCCCAAATGAAACACTAAGACCATGTGAGGTACATCAGAGCAAGTTCCCTTATGCCAAAAAGGAATGCTCAATTTTATACAGTGATGTTTTTGCACCTTGTCGCAATGTGGTAAGTTTATTAAATATCCAAGATGTGCTCTCATGTAGAAAAATATTAAAATTCCAGTAATTAATTTCTTCCTGCCGTTCCCCTCAGTCTGAACGCCATGGAAGATACAGGGTAGAGCCCTGCAAGTACCTCTACGTGGGTGGGCTATGTTTGTGCAGAGTTCCTTGCTCCTTTCAAGACTGGAGCCTAAACATAACAGTGGTAACTGGGAGCCATGAGTTAGGAGACTGGATAATCAAGGTTCTGTTCTCTTTAGGTTTTATTTATACCTTTTATTTATATAGGTACCTAAATTTTTAACGCTTTTGTATATATTGCAGGATTCTAAAATAAGTATTTGTGTAATGTGCCTACAGCTTATCTCAAAAGGTTTTATTTTGTTAGCTGTCCTGTTCAATACAGAAAGAAATATGAGAGTGCAAGATTTCAGCTTCAGAGCTATCAGTATTTTTAATTGGCTGACAGCTTATCATCTGCTTTTTATCAGAACTCTGAGATTTGGTGTCCTTGTTTTCCCAATACCTGGCTGAGCCTGGGACTTGAGTTACAAGAATGTCCTTAAGTTCAGTCTAGACAAGATGGGGACAACAATAGATTGTGTGGGAATATTTTATTCCATTTCAGTCTACCCTTTATCAAGACAAGACAGGCTCTATACATTTTTCCCTATTTCCGATTTTAGCCTCCCAAAGGTATTTAGTTATCGAAGGTGCTTCTTCACACGTGTGCAAGCAAGAACCACTATGACATTTCATCTTAGTCTCTTATTTTCTTTATGACTATTAATACTAAATGAGATCATTAGATGTCCCAGCTGAACCTCCTGACTCTCAGGGCTGAAGTTTGATATCAACATGGTTAGGAATTTGCCTGAGGAGGAGGTTGCAGTAGCTTAACCCGAGAGATTTATTAATGTTGACTTTAGTTACTATGTAAAGAATTTTTTGAGCATGTGCCTGAGAACATAGTGATGAGTGTATTTTCAAAGTAGAAAGAAATAAATGAGAATGTACTTTTGAGAGTTTTTAAGGACCTGTCTTATCATAACTCATAAAGAAAGATGTTTTCCCTTGAACATTAATTTTCTTTACCTTATCCACGTTGTGATTAAAATTTGCAAATGTTATGCCAAAAATTTAGCATAATTATGTTAAAAAATGCATGTCAGGTGCAAAACATGTCATTTAATTAGTAGTCAAGTATTTTCACATGCACACATCCATCTTGTATGGGACAGCCTGTAAAGCAAATATCTTTCAGGTGTTTTTACAACCTATTCATCAGCTTCTGAAAAATATGGCTCTTACAAATGCAAAGTGACCTCCTAGCAACAATATCTGCACCTGACAGCTAGCTGCACGGGTGGGGAACTGGATGCCAAGGAAAAAAGGCCAAGCAGAGACTGACACTGGGGGCATGGAAGGAACAGAAAGTGTAGATGTGGGTTTCAGGACGTGCTTGGAGCAGCGCTCTGTACTGCAGTCGCTCCCGCTGTGCGGGTGGTGGAGGATCCTGCTGGGCATGGAGGCAAGCTCCTGCCCGTGGGACAGCCAGCCTCAGAGTTCAGCTGAGGCTGGAAAACCCCGTTTTCAGGGAGACAAAATCTTGCATCTCTGGCTGGCAGTGACTGACAGATTGCAATTGCCCAGCTAAGCACTGAACTCAGTGGAGGCTGAGGAGCCTCAACACTCGCAGGAAAAAAGGTCTTGCTCGTAACTCCTGAACTCGGCAGGAGCTTTGATGCGAGGCTCCTAGTTGGTGACAACAGCAGGATGTTGCTGACCCATGGAGAGATGCGGTCCTGCAGATATGAGAGGCAGATTGAGCTCTTTGGAGCCAATCTGCTATTTGGTCGTTCCTGCAAAGCTATTACAGCCATTTTCAATGGAGCTAACGCTCATGCCCCCACCCAGGTAGTATCCTTGTTTTCAAAATAAGAAAAAGAATGAAAGCAAAACAGCATCTCTCTCCACTGAAGGCAGAAAATCAGTCTTCATATCCCTGCCAGCTTCTAGCAACTGCCAGCTGTGAAGCTGTCTCCGTGCTAGATAAGTGGTGCTTTGTTACTGTGATGGTATTTCTGTAATCTGATGTGTGCCATTTGAGTGCTCTAAAACTGAGCTAGGCCAGAGTCTAAACTGAAGAAAGGCATTGCTTTAAACATTCCATGTGTTGAGTAAGAACGCTGTTTTGGAAACGTTGCTCAACATTACAAAAAAGATGATTAAAACCCAAGAAACAGTGTATTACGTAAAGCCATGAAATAACATGATAAGATTTTAGAGGGAGGACGTGGGTTTCTGATCTAATGGAGGTTTGCAGGCAAAGTATATTAAAAACTTGATAAGTGCAGAAATACTATTCTGCAAAATGTCACCAGCATGCTCAAGCTTTCTTTAGCTGACCAAAACCCCCTCTACAAATTATTACTTTAATTGCTTGATAATCAGAGCTGCGGCTCTTCGTTGTCGTTCATGCCAAACAGACAGGATAATTACAGATGGCAGTATTTGCCTTATAGAAACAGAACTGTCGGCTTCAATATATTCTCCAAAATGGATGAACAGCAAGTGTGTGGACAGACATGCTTGTTAATAGTCACCGATTGAAATTTCCTCCTGGCCTGTAACGTAGATACAATCTGATCATCCAAAGTGTACTTTTTGTATAGGAATGTACCCAAACCTTAGAAAATACCTTATTTTTGTGTTAAATTCTCTCAATCAATCCAGAGGTAGC